ATAGAACAGAATTACAACTGGTACCCTAACCTCTACGGTTTCCAGGGCGGTCATTTTTCAGGGAAGCAGACTCCATCATTTTTCTCCTGGGGAGCTGCTAGTGGGTTTGAACCACTGACTTTTACATTGGCAGCCCTGTACTGAACTCACTGCACAACAAGGGTGCCTCTAAAGGGCTGAAAGGAGGTCTAAATCAGATAATGTACAGAAAGCGGTGAGGATGAAATCGGTATTGTTTCTTTGAACAGACCAGCCTTTGGGGATCCCAAGTCACCGGCAGCAGGACAGGTACCCACAGACACTAGTTTGTGGTCTAAGAAAGTGCAGGAATATGGTAGAACAGCTCAGCTATCTCAGCCACTGAAGGGAAGCAGCCCCAGATGTAAGGATCCCCCAGTGCGAGCGCCGGGAAACACCTTGGTTGAGTATGTCTGGGCCACCCTGATTTAAAGCAGAGCAGCTTTCTGTACGTAGGACTTCTCAGCGCCTTTAGCCCCATAAGACATTGAAGTTCCTGAGCTGGTTTCCCTACAGACCTCTGGTGGCCCCTCACCCTGCTCTACTTGATGGGAAAGGTGTCTTCACACACTTTGGGGAGCATCTTGTCTACCTTTCATACCCAGTGGGGTTAGAGAAAGAAAGTCAGTTTCATGGAGAACCACCAGGCCAAGTGTGGGAGCCGCCTTGGCTGAGCCCACCTGACTACTTGCCTTGTCTCATGGGATGCCACTTCCAAACAACACCCAATCCAAGGCCCAGAGAAAAACATACTTTCTTCTTCATTCATTCATTCATTCATTCAGTTTTCAGTGCACCATGAGTAGCTCTCTAGTTGTCTGGTTCAAGAGCCCCGCAGGGATGAGCCCCAGTGCATGGTTTCTTGCAGTGTTCTGTGGAGTCCCTCCAAGTGGCTTGGCTCCAGCACTCAGAGAACTGGGTCGGAGCCCCATTGGACCCCCGAGTGACATGTGCTGAACTGGGTCTTTGCTGCTGACTTTCCGTCCATCCATCCCTGCCTGCCCTGTGTTGTCAGGGTGGATTCCTGCAAGCACAGTGCACTAGCTCTGTTGGTTCTGCATGTGGATACCTGGGGTGGAAAAGATGATAGCAGGGTGCAGGAGGACAGGAGTGCCCCGAGGCACCTCTGGCCCAGCTCCCAGCTCCCTTTGGCTGAGACGTAGTGCATCATTGCTGAACTTTTTTTTTAAAGGAATGAACTGGCTTTAAAAGAGCCACGTGTGGTGGGCAATTGGAGGTGAGTTATACTTCAGGCTTTCCCAGATGTAACCAAGAAATGCCTTAATTATCAGATTTACTTACTGAGGAAAGTTCCCAGTGAGTTTATGTAGCAGTTGTTGTTATGTGCCATGATGTTGGTTCCGACCCATAGCGACCCTGTTGTATAGGGTTTCCGAGGCTGTGAATCTTTATGGGAGCAGGTAGCCTCATCTTTCTCCTGCGGAACAGCTGGTAGTTTCGAACTTCTGAAGTTGTGGTTCACAGTCTGATTCATAACCACTACGCTACCAGAGCTCCGAGCCTTTGTGTAGAACACCTGCCCCCCCCCCCCCCAAATATATTCCTCATAAGGAGCACTGGTAACGTAGTGGTTATGAGTAGGGCTGCTAACCTCAGTGTCTGCAGTTCAAAACTACCACCTGTTCCGCATGAGAAAGATGAGGCTTTCTGCTCCCGTAAAGATCCACAGCCTCAGAAACCCTGTATAGGGTCGCTATGAGTCGGAACTGACTCCACCACCACCACATATCTCGTATAGACAGTTTTTGAATTGTCTGATGCACTGGACTACAAACTACAGTGTTGGTAGTTCAAACTCACCAGCTGCTCCTTGGAAACCCTATGCAGGGTCTCTATTATGAGTCAGAACCAACTCAACAGCAATTAGCGACAACAATGCACTCACTCCATATGCATTCTACAGCAGTGGGCTGTGAATACACTACAGGTAGAGCCGTCATTATTACCTAGTTACAGTGAGGCTTCAAATCACACGGTTTCATCTGCATGTGCTACGAGCACACTTATTTGTTTCCATTGCTGGTATGTTGTTAGTGTCTGATTTTTCCAAATTTTCTGGTGTTTATCTACAAAACTATGGCAATTAATATTTGTAACAATACTAATCATATTGTAAGTCAATGTAAAAAGATTTTACAAAGAAGTTGTAGTTAGTTTTCATATAATCTAAGGAACAATGGCATTTAAATGATTTATAACTATGTTTCTTGCTGCTAAGAGCTGTTGTGTCGGACCTACCTCACAGTGGCCCTGTATAGGGTTTCTAGGGAGCAACTGGTGAATTTGAACCGATGACCTCACAGTTTAAATCAACCTTGTAGTCCACTGCTTATTCTATAGTGTCACACCAGGATTCCATAACTATATTTATTATGTGTTAATCTGTGATTAATGTTGATAATCATTACTAAGCCTAACTTCACATTATATGTAAGGAACCCTGATGGTGAGGTGGGTTACACGTTTGGCTGCTAAAGGCAAGGTTAGCAGTTTGAAGCTACCAGGTGCTCCATAGGAGAAAGATGAGGCTTTCTGCTCCTGTAAAAATATATTGTTTAGTGCCTTCGAGTCAGTTCCAACTCATAGGGTTTTCAGCAGCGGCTGGTAGATTTGAACTGCTAACCTTGTAATTCAAACCTACCTTGTGGTCCATTGCTTATCCTATATCGTCACACCAGGATTCTAGTAAAGATGTATAGCCTTGAAAACCCTGTACAAGGTTACTGTGAGTAAGAACCAACTCAGCGACACACAGCTAGGCAGCCAGCCAAGGATTCTGTGTGGTCAGGCATGGAGGCAGTCCGTGAGGGAAATGCATAGCACCATGACGTACCTCCTCACTGGCTGACAGCCACTTAGTGACGACCCCAGTGATCACTGTTTGGCGTCTGGTGGGTTCAGATCAGCCATCTTTCTGTTTGCACCATCACTGTGTCTTAATGTAAAGTTACCTTGTCAGAAATGAACATGGTGTAAGGGAGTGGGGGCAGGGCGAACAGGAAACGTTCAGCAAATGAGCTGGTGTGAGTACTAGCTGGCAAGGGGGGCTTGTCTTAGCCACACTATTTTGAAATCTTACAGAGCAGTTGGGACTTTACAGAAAATCTGCACAGAAGGTTACAAGCTCTCATGTACTTTCTCTATCCTGCAGTTTCTCCTGTTACCCAACGTGTTGCATTAGTCTGATACATTTGTTTCAATGGATGAACCAACACTGAACCACTCTTGTCAACTAAAGTCTACAGCTGACATATGGGAACCCTGGCGGCTCCGTGGTTAAAGCACTTGGCAGTTACCCGAAGGTTGGAAAACCTGCAGGGGGCCGATCTACCCTGCAGTGTAGGGTGGCTGTGAGTCAGAATCAAGTGGATGACACTGGGTTTTATAGTTTACATTGTTGTTTTGTGTTGTCGTGTCGCTTCCCACGCATAGTCATTCAACATAGTGACCCTTGTATACGGTTTCCAAGGAGTGGCTGGTAGATTTGAACCACCCATGTTGCATTTAGCAGTCCAGTGCTTATCCTACATTGCCATTCTAGGTCTCGTATTTGCACTGTTGTTGAGTCTCGTCGAGTCGGTTCCGACTCCAGTCCTCTGTAGAGTTTCCGAGGAGCGATGGTGGGTTTGAATCACAGACTTTGCAGTTAATAGTCTTGTGCTTACCCTACAGCACCACACCTGGATTCCCATTTACACTAGGGTTCCTTAGTTGCGCTGGATAGTTTTATGGGTTTGAACACCTGTCTAATGTTACAGGTGCATCCGTGTAGTAATGTAGAGTAGTTTCGATGCCCTCCAAATGCCCCGTGCTCCATCTGTTCATCCTTCTCTCCCTCCTTTCCTCTGCACCCCTGAAACCACTCATCTTTTTCCTGTTGCCATAGTCTGTTTTTCAGAATGTCAGACAGTTCAAGGAGTGCAAAACACAAGCTTCCCAAATAGGTTTCTCTAATTATCTGTATGCATTTAGGGGTTTACCATGAATTTCATGGCTTGGTAGTTTTCCTTTCCTTTCGTTTTTTTTAGTCATGGAATAATAACCAACCGTATAAACCGTTTGGTTATCCAGGAGTGCCGGGATTGTATCAGTGTTGGCGTGTCAGGGGACCATGAGAAGATTAGAACTCAAACTGTCTGATATTGATTTCTTCCTTGGAATTCTAACGTTAGAAACTGCCTCTTAGAAATGCTAAAGTCTAGTAATGAGGGTAGAGATAAAGGGGTTTACCTGGTGGGGTTACTGATCGAAGGCTTCCACTAGGCAGAATGTGGCCCCTGGTTGATGCGATGATTTGTGCCTACAGGCTAACCCAAGGTCGGCAGTTGGAATGCATCCAGCTGCTCTGTGGCAGAAAGTCCTGTTAATGTGCTACTGTTAGGATTACAGCCAAAAAAGCTCCTTAGAGCCCAGTTGTTACTCTGTAACACACAGGGGTGCCAGGAGGTAGGACCGGCTTCCTGGCGTTAACAGCAGCAGACGGAATCTATCAGTGGTAACAATGTGCCTACCTGTGTCAGGTGGTTCCCCTTCCAGAGGCCCACCCCCACCCCCCAGCCACCACGTACACACACAAAGCCATTCATGTTATACTTGAGTTCACAGTGGGAAAATTGAGGTTGCAACGTAATATCCAAGGCTTGAAACAGCATGACAAAGAATTTGTAGCATATATGATGTGACTTGATTTGATAGGCTGTGTATGACTGCTTGAAACAGGTCCTAGAGGGGTACCTACCACATTTGTTAGATGATTGCTTCTCAGGAATGAGACTTTGGAAGCAGGGAGACAGATACCTACTTTTGGCATCTTATGTTTCTCTTATGTGAATATTTCAAACTAACATAAATTACAGTTTTAATTCCACAAACAAGCAAAAAACAGATCTGCCATTTGCTTGCGCAGAGTGGCCCAGCTTTGCTTCCTTTGGGTTTATTTCCTCCTGTCTTTTTTGTTTCAGATTCTCGATGAATTTAAGAAGGATTCGTTCACCTTCATCCTGGGGTGAGGCAGCCCTTGCGTATTGTGTTTCAGGGTGACTGGACTGGACATTGGTGGCCTTGTCTGCCCACCCCCTTAGCGCTACCAGCACCCTCTGGGAGGCGGCACCTCACATGTGACTGCCGATCTCCATGGGGACAGCATCCCCCCATTGGAGATGTCTGCCCTTGTGAGCCTGTGGCATGGATAAAGATGGCCCACAGTAGGGGCTTGGGGAGTATGGGGAGAGAATTGTTCTGGAAAGTTCTGTAGAGAGCACGAAATTCTCGGGACCCTCCTCCAAACTGCTGGGACAGGTTTGGAGATTGTTTTTGGTTTTACACACAGTGGAAGTCATTTTAGTGGTCAAATCAGTTTGGGTAGTTCCTGATTAAGCAGGTATAATTGAATTACATTGAGTCAGAACCTGTCAAATGCTTCACGTGGTACTTAACTAACACACATGACAGACAAGGGCTCACACACATTAGCCGTGGCATCTCCACAGTACCTATGACAGGGCCTTCACTGAGCATCAGGGCTCCCCAAGCAGAGTCGGCAGTCCCAGTTGTATCCACCCCAGGGCCGTTTGGGCCCACTCTTGGACACCCTGGCGTCAGTGCCCCTTCGGTGGATCCCCCCACTTTGGGGCCTGTCTCGTCTGCGTGTGTCTGGGGACGCTGTCTCGGTTCATCTCTGTCTCCCATTGGCCACGGGCCTGTCACAGCAGAGGGATCAGTGGGGGCAGGGTGCTTCGTGACTCTCTTTCCGAATGTGTCTCTCATCACCTTCCCCTTCTCCCGAGAGCAGGAACACAGACCGGCCAGATGCCTCCGCTGTTCACCTGCACGACTTCCAGAGGTTTCTTTCACATGAGCAGCAGGTGAGAGGACAGCAGGGCCCATGGGCTTGGGAGGTTTACAAAGGCTCATTACCTGTATCTGATGGGATGGTGGCGAGGTCACAGACTCTGCAAGAACGGTGTAGGGTATGGGACCTGTCATGCTCACCCACTGCCGTCCAGCCCTTTCTGACTCACAGTGACCCTGTAGGACAGAATGGAGCTGCCCCATGGGGTTTCCAAGGCTGTTATGATTGCAGAAGTAGATTACCTTATCGTTCTTTCTTGAAGCGGCTGGTGGGCTTGAACCACCAACGTTTTGGTTCACAGTCAGTGCCTTATCCACTCTGCCACCAGCACTCCTTTCATCATCCATACAGTAAGTGCCTAATGGTTTGAATCATGATGCTCTCACCATTTTTGTTCTTCAAGTGCTTAGCACATCTCCAGAGCAAGTAAATGTGGTTTTCTTTTAACTTCTAGAATATTGGTCAATTAGATGCTTAAAAGAAAAAAAAAAAAGCTTCAGAGTATTGATAGAGGAGCCCTGGTGATGCAGTGGTTAAGGGCTCAACTGAAATGTCGGCAGTTCAAATCCACTGGCCGCTCCTAGGGCCATAATGAATTATAGCCTCAGAAACCCTGTGGGCCAGTTCTACTCTGTTCCATTGGGTTCCTGTCAGTTGGAATCCACTGCCAAGGAGTTTGGTTATTTATTTATTTAGGTTTGTTTTTAGGCAGAAGAGTTCCTGCATTGGCAGCTAGTTCAAGTCAACTTTTTTATGAGCGAATTACCTTGGCCTTTTAATAATGCAAAAGATATGTTGGGAAAGGAAGGCGTCAGTTCGGGGTTTCTGGAGCTAGGCCAGGTGCTATGGGGTCTGGTATTCAAAGATGCCGGCAGGTCTGTGTTCTAATGACTTGTTCTTTGAGGCCAGCTAGTGCTTGCTGCCCCCCCCCCCCATACAGGTTCATCAACAATGGGGCTCAGTGTGTGTCAGTGTCCCCGGGGCCATCCCTTCACCGCCTCATTTGTATCTGTTCTTAATGCTTTCTTTCTTTCACATATCCTGGTTGCTACTCCACTCTCCTTCCCTCTCAGGGCATCTGCTAGCGTATTTGCTTTCATTATTCATAAAGATAGCGAGTTTAGAATATTCAAAACCCAGGGAACATTAGTCAAAATTGAATCTACGTGTCATATCTTATCCTCTTGCCTGTGAGGATTTAGGGTTTCCTGGGGTTGAAAAGGAAAACAGTGAGTAATAAGACAGCTTGTCTTCCTTTTTTGTTTTTGTTTTATAGTCTTGTATTCTTTCATTCTCTTTTACTCTCCCATTCTTTTTCTTTTTAACATTTTTTTATTGTGATACATACATACATATATATATATATAAATGTATAGGTGCTCTGGTAGCGTAGTGGTTACGAATCGGGCTGCGAACCTTAAGGTCAGTGGTTCGAAACTACCAGCTGCTCTGCGGGAGAAAGATGAGGCTTTCT